GCAGTCTAAGACCAGTTATTCAAAGAGATCTACATGGGAAATCTTTATTTTATGTGTGTATCTGTTTGTACTGACATGTGATGTTTCTGTTCTTGTTTTTCCCTCTTCCTGTGTTTTCCCATTTCCTCCATTTCTCTCCCTGCCTCCTCTCTCACTCTCACAGTCTTCCTCTGCTGCTATCTCTCCACAGCTCACCAAGCTTCACCAGCTGGCTATGCAGCAGAGCCCCTTCCCCATTGCACCCAGCAACCAGGGATTCACCGGTATGAAACGAAATATGGGGGAAAAAAAAAATGACCCAATTGTCAGAAAGTCTGAAATTGATGGTCACCATCAAGTTGTTCAAGAATTTTCTTCAAACAGGTTTAAAGGCCCAAAGAAGGAAAACCGGAGCATGGTGTTGTTTTTATAAAGGAAAAGAAAATAATAATATATATGACTGAGCACCTTTTTTAGATCTTCTTAATGAATCACATATTGTTTACCAAAGCAGTAGAAGTCTATTTTACTTAAGACAACATCTACAGCAAAATTACAATTCTCTAAACTTCTACTTGATACATTCTGAGATGCTGTGGATTAACAAGGCAATAACTTGTACTGTTGTCTGGGACTGCTTTGTGTTGACAGTTATTCCTAATTATATGAACACATCCTTCACATGCAATACATCATAATAATATGAAGTTGAAGTACCTTCATCTAAAGTTCTGTCACAGTGCGGGCCTTTGCTGAAAAGTAACTCTCAGGAGTTTAACAACTTGTTGAAATGTGGGTCTGTTTTCAAAGCGTAGAGTAGTTTCTGTATTGGTTACTAAAAGCACTTTATCCTTTATTGGTTATCATGTCTCAATTGTTTTTCAGGAATAGATGCTTCTGCTCAAACCAGTTCCCATGAAATGACCATTCCAAATGATGTAAGTGATTTAAAAAGTCCTTTGTCCCTCTGTTTAAATTTAGGCATGCTTTCTAATTAACAATAAATGTTCCCTAAGAAAAAATTGAAATTGGGATGAAAACCAAACAAAAGTATTAACAGAATTTTAACCAACCACATATATGTATTTCTATTTCCTAACTTTGCTGCCTTTTGTCACACTACAGCTCATTGGTTGCATCATCGGCCGCCAGGGAGCCAAGATCAACGAGATCAGGCAAATGTCAGGCGCCCAGATCAAGATTGCAAATCCAGTGGATGGATCTACTGACCGCCAGGTCACCATCACAGGGTCGCCTGCCAGCATCAGTCTGGCAGAGTACCTCATCAACGCCAGGTGAGATCATCACTTATACCCTACCTTAGCCTTTGACAGTCCCAGGCTTAAAAAAGAGCTTATCCATTAGTTATGATGTATTTGATCTCACTTTGTGTCTGTCCAATTTAATTTCATTGTTATCATTAGAAAAAGGAAAAACATGCGTTACTTGGGTCCACCTGCTCAGATTTCTCTGGATGTAACCACACTTTATTAAAGGAATAAATAGATTACAGATATAAAGCAAATACATAACCAGACAACTTGCTGCTCTGATTTGTGTTTAAGTTCCACTGATTGGGTAAATAGTATTTTTGTGGCTACTGCTAATCATCACTGTGGTGTTGCTAGCTCTCTGTCAGTCTGCATGTGTGTTCTTTCCCTTAAACTTAACATTGATCTCTCACTCGAGATGTTTTTCCCTCTATCCTTTTTATTATGGTTTGACAAATTATTTTCTAATAAAGCTTTTTGTCTTTGTGTATAATCACACCCCTGAGTGATTCCTCCTCACCCCTCCTCCTCCTCCTCCTCTCCCGTACCCCTCCCCCACCCATTGCTCACCAGCCTGCCCTGTGACCCATCCCGACTGTGTTGTCCCTCTCTCCTTGTCTCTCTTTCTACAGTGTAGAGTCCTCTAAACCTCCTCCCTCCTCCTCCTCCTTGAACCCTGAACAGACCAGCCTGTGCCCTCCCTCCACCTCTACTACTACTACTACTACTACCACAAATACTGCTACTACTACTACCACCACCTCCTCTGCCGCTACCTCCTCCTTCTCCTCTTCCTCATCCTCCTCTTCCTCCTCCTCCTGTGTGGTGCCCCCCTCAGCCTCCATCCCTCTGTCCTTGTTGGCTCCAGGGCCGTCTCCTCCCTCCTCTTCCTCCTCCTCCTCCTCTTGCTCCACCACTGACTCCCTGCTCCCCAGCTCTCCTGCCTGTGTGTCGAGTCTCCTCAGTCTCAAGCCCCTCCCTCTCCTGGCCCTCCATGTTGTCAGCGGGGCCAGTAATCCCGCCCACCCAATGCCCACTGAGCCCAAAATCGCCCCTGAGTTGAGCTCCAAGTCTAAAAGGCGGAGGCTCTCCCCTTACTAACCAAGGAAACATAAGTCATCTCCTTTTAAAGTGCAGACAATTTTGTTGTCTGTACCTGCACTCGCTTTTGTATTTGGCTGAGCCATGCCACGCTTAACTTATTACACAAAACAAACGCACACAAACGAGTGTTACTCAGCCAGACACATGGTTGCTGCCATATTTATAAAGTAGATCTGTAGCTTGATTTGGCCTGTCTCTTTAAGAAATAACCTGTCGAGTGCATTATATTTTTAATGACTTTGAACTTAGCATGGACACTGAAGCATTTCTCTTTGTGTGTAAGCTCTGCTCAGGTAGCGGCTCTCTTTAAGATGTCACATTGTATTTATGGGGATAGTTCTCTTGTAGTAAATTTTAAGTGACTATTGTTAGCGCTCATACTGTAAACTACTTGTCTAATTGTTATTTTATTTATCTGCATTTTGCCTGTGTAAGAAGCAATCAAATGTCACTAAAAAGTAAATCTGTCCTCAGGTATCAAAGGCCACCAAACCACCCTTTTATTAAGAAGTGTGTTGATTGAAGGAATTAAAATAAACATTTGATTTAGATCCAGGATAAGAAATATTCTGACAATTTGGAAGGCATTTTCACTTTCTTTTTGCAAGTTTAATGAAGTGATTGCAGTTATGCACAATCTGGATGTGCAGTAAATATTTAGCAAGACCCTTCAGGTGGTTTGTTTGTTGTTGGAAACGCTCTTTTAATGTTAGTTACATTTCCTCGCCGTTCTTCCTCTACGTTGTTAGTTAGGTAATGACACTGCAGGAGCAGAATTAGTCTACAGAGCAGTCAATCATGACGTCACAACGGCTCATTTTCAGATTAAATAAATTGAAACTTAACTTCTCAAAAAAAGAGAACACTTGGACATGAATCAACACGATAAGAACTGTATTTGGTTGTTCCATCTGTTTAAAAAAAAAAAAAAAAAGGAGTAGTCGGGGCCTATACTGCAGCCAGTCAGCAGGGAGAGGACTAAATCTTTTGGCCTCACTTCTCTCCCGCTCTTGTGCTGTCCATTCATTATACTATCTATGGGCTCTATTCTTTGTGCTAAGCTAACAAGGTGCAATGAGCAATCACCTGTTAAATCTTTGTTAAAGAAGTGTTTCCCAAAATGTCAAATTAATCATTTTTTAAAATATTAGAGCAAGCATTTAGTGTTGAATGAATCCAGATGGTCTCTTTATCTAGCATTTTATTATGACAATGTAATGTGCATTAAATGACATTTATCCTGTCTGTCTGATTGCATGCCTCATTCTCTCTCTCCCTGGTCTACGGGTGTCTGTCTCTCTGTCTCTCCAGGCTTTCCTCTGAGGCCACAGGACTGGCAGCCAACTGATAGGACTCTGCATCTGCACTAAATCTCACTTTTATGTCACCGGCTACCATAAAACGGTCAATGCAACTATCCAACTCAAGAGTTTATAAATTATACTGCCTCTTCCTCATTTGAAATCATATTAATCCGCCTCTGATTTGATCATTATTTATTTCATTTGTTTTGGTTTTAGTCAAAAGAAGCAAAAAATAAGGTTTTAAATTCCCATTTTGAGATGAGTTGGAGGTTTTAATGATTTGTTATTAGACTTTTTTTCTTTCTTTTTTTTTTGGACAGATTCCTCACTCCCTTCCCTTTGTTTTTTCATTTTGCCATTTTTCCTCCTCACAGAGAAGAGTTTGAACACTCTGAATAGGCATATAGATTTAGTTCTGTACAGTCAGTTTTTTTTTCTTTAAAAAGGAAACTACAAAAAAGGAAAATTAAAAAAAAAAAGAGTCAAAAATAAGACTAGAGTGACTGTTTTATTCTGTGTTTATATACATACCCACCCTTTAACTCACCCAGTTCCACACGTCGGTCTGTCCATTTTATGTCCATCCTCACGATTTAAATATTCACAGTATGCTCCCCCTTTTGTCACCCTTTTCAATTGAAGTGCTTGTAACATGGATTGCACTCGTGGCACTGCAGAGAACACGTAGCTGTACATGCACTGTCACTTGTTATATTTGGTTATGACATCGACAAAATATTCTAACACTCACAATTGAATTAGCCAGATAATTTTGAAATGTGTTTTTACAACACGTGTCACTTTTCCACCCTCTACATGTCATTCCTGGTTTTCCCCCTCTCCTGATCCTGAAATCGTGTGTTGATATTTTGCTGGGATTGGGAGGTTTTATGGGGGGGTCGGACTTGGCTCTAGGGATTGAAGCAGAGGGTTCTCCTCGCTTTTTTTTGTAAAGATTGATATATACTAAAAAAAAATGTTGGAATATTTGTTGAAAATGGAGGAAATATTTTTTTTTAATACCAAAGGGGGATGAACTCCTGGACACTGACTGATCTATCTCTTAAATGTGATGAGGCTGAAATTATGGAAGCTCTGGAAATAGACAAAGAAAGGGTTGTGATTTAACACTAGTTTCCTGCTCTTTGCTTTGCTCGAGACAGAATTTATTTTATTATTTGTTTGCAGGAAAGAGAGAACTTTTGTGCACGTTTTTGAGACTGTAGACCTGGGTGCCACAACATTGTTTAAAAAAATACAGGAATAAAAGATGTGAAATGCTCAAACCACAACTTGTTTGGGGGAAATTTGTCATGTCAAGTAGTTTGTCTGTGCAAGGTGATATTTCACAGGTTGTATTTTATTTAAACTGTTTCTTAAATATATTTACTGTACAGTTACAATAATGCAGTATAAAAAGCAAACGTGAGTCTATACAGGGTTTTTCAATCGGCATCATCATCAGGGGGAAACACATGTACCTCCTCAATGTAGACACTAGAGGGCAGTAGTTTTGCTTTTTGGCAACATCTCATCCTTCAGGAGGATGTTTCAGCTTTACATCTTGGGGCCACAATCAGTTTGAAATGATTTACATATTCAATGTTTAACACCAGATAAAAAAAATAGAAGCTGCCATTTTTAGCTTATTGAGTAGGACCTGATTGGTCAAGGAGTAGAACACAAACTAATTAGCTGCAGTACAGTCAAGAAACCTTGGAACATGTGCATAATAGAAGTCTTATAAAGTGACACAAGAACATTAAAACAGCTTTGTAAGAGCCCTTACACACTGCTGGAAAATGACCGTCAGTTTTGCTGTAGTTCCAGCTGGTAACATCATGACAGACTGACCTTACTGTGAAGTGATCACACAGGCTTCGTGTGTAGGTGTACACAGATTTTAGGAGTTGGTAATTAAACTTAAAAATTGGGGGTCCCAAATGTTAGTCATTTAAACCCACAGTGATTAAAAGTAATTTCTGTCCTCTTGAAGGACCTCATCCACAGAAACGCTTGTTTGCTTAGTGTTTTACGTAGTAACAGATACGTAAAACAAAGGATATGTGCCACACTTTTAAAGTTTCCCAAAATGTCCTAAACATTTCTAAGTTGTGGTTTAGCACATGGCAAACATCATATGGCCACCAGTCTGACTCAGTGGCGAGAGCAGAAAACCTTTTACGTTTCCTTATCCTAATGTTTATGCTGCTGTTTTGTGTCTCCGTCGTTCACTTTTCTAAACCAGAATCTTAAAATATCTAGCAGAAAAGTGTTTCTGCTTCTTTTTATTCTATGGATGATTCTATATTTGATTTTGATGAGTCTAATACTCTGATGAGCTGTAAACCCCCATATCTTTAGAAAGGGGCTTTCAAACTGATAAACACTGCAATACTGTTTTGTTGTTTTTACAAACCTGTATGTCCCAACAGAACCCAGCTGTTGTTCTCTTGCTTTGTTTACAGGACACCACATTCTCTAACAGAGCAGACGTATTGCTTTTTTTTTTTTTTTTCTTTGTTCGTCTTTTATCTGTGTTTCGATGCTTGGACATGAACAGCAGCTAGAGTACATTCTATCATCAATAAGCTATTTGAGGTTTAAAACAGAGTAGCGCCACCTAATTAGAAACGTCAGCACCTTTAAATTATACAATCTCACATTTTAAAAATTTGTTCATTTTACAACATCACATATTTACATTTGAACACAGGAGTAGAAAGTGGGAACATAATCCATGTTACAAATATAAATAAAAAAATGTAAACATCACAAATTAAGAATGTAAACAATATCATTGATTTCACTGTAAAAAAAAAAAAAACTAGATTAATCAGTGCATACTCTTTTAAAAGTAAATTTAGTATGACAATGATCAGGAGAAAATCAGTACGTTTCATAAATTAAGTGCAAGCAGCAACATCACAGGCTATGTCAGTAATGTCGACAAAACAACAAGAATAAATAAATGCCCTGAAAAGATTTTAGAATCACATCTGATGCATTGCTGAGAATGAAAATGACACATTTTGATAACGGAGATAAAAACACAAACGGACACAGAGGACGGTTAGAGACGGCCTCTGTCACTGAGGAGTCATTTGAAGAGTTCTTGCAAAATGATCTCAGGCCAGTTGCTATCAAGATCCATCAACTGAGCTTGTTCCCCAATTCAGTTTGCCATTATCGTGATGCAATTATCCTAAAGGGAATAGGATATTCTTTTGTTGCTTTCTTATTTATTTCTGAGGATATCATGAATTTGACAAGATTTATTTTTGTTCTTCCCTGTGGTGAAGGAAGCAGGCTTTCATTTCCTGCCTCTGTGCAATGTCCTTGATCATGACTCCATGGATTATACGGTCCAAAAAAAAAGAAGCAAAAGAGGCATTCACAGGCTGGATCTGCCCTCGTTTGAAGGGGCTGAGGTGCCTGGTTTTCACCAGTTGGTTGGAGGTTGGCTTGGTTCTGCGCTGCCTGAATGGTCCAGCTCTGCACTGTCACAGTCTGAGTCGTCATAGAGGCCCTGGTATGAAGGAACCACAAGAAGGATGTAGATTAAAGCAGCAGCAGAATCTTTCATTTTAAGTACAAAAAAAATATTCAGGCCTTTTCTCTGCATCTAATTATCCGTTACGTATGTTTTAGCATGTGTTAGCTGAACGTGACATGCCTCTTTATATCAAGTCTATATCAAGTTCAATCTTTTTATTCACGCCCTGCAGCCTACCTCGTAATTATGGTCGTTAATAGCGAGCTGGGTTTTGACTTGACGCAGAATGGCCTCCTTCTCAGACATCCCGTCAGAGCCCAGCTGGGTCGGGTCAGACGGGTCGGCGGGAATCTCGGAGCCCTGAGACAATAGGTCATCGCTCTTGTCGTCCAGTCGCTCGTCGGTGTTGGTGCTGACAACGTCTGGTGTGCCGCTGTGGGAGTGGTCTGTGGTGTTTCCCTCCTCGCCATCAGACACAGACAAGTTCTCTGAGCTGAAGGTGGACAAGGACTGGCATTTGGACATGCTCACAGGACGTCTGAGTGAGAAAACAAGAGGATACGATGACATTAAGTAGTGTGGGTTAATTACACTGACCCACATGTAAACCAAACACACAGCAGTACACATTTTACTTTTGGGACGACAGTAGAGCTGAACATGAAGATAATACTTACTTACTTAATACAAAATTGTTTAATGCACATTTTTACTGACTAAGTCTAGGTTAAATAGAACACCTCTGTGTGTGTGTGTGTGTGTGTGTACACCATGGGTTCTAGGATTATCTTTTGTTTGGTGTGAGATACATTCATAAGTAATACATTTATGCATAGCAACATACAAACAGTAGATCTAATAATAACTTATTTTTTCTTACCGTCTCCTTGGCAATTCAACTTCACTGTCCACCTCTCCTTCTTCCTCCTCTGAGGACAGTCCACGTCTCTGTGGGTAAAATAAACAGTTTTCATTAAAACCTCAAGAGTTTGCTTGTTTTAGTAAACATGAATGATCCCAACCCCTATTTCTGATGAGATCCCTGAATCATCTCATAAGAAATTCCGATGATGAAATCATTAGTATAAACTTGGTACCACAAGGTGATTTTGAAAACAATGAATCATCAATGTCTTTTCCTAAATATACAAATTCATGACTTATATCAAACTCCTGTAACACATTTATACCCAAAACTGACACTGACAAATGAAGCCAAACTACTGATATGATTAAGCAACTGTACATAAGTGGCAGAAATGGAATTGAAAATTTGGAAAACCAAAAGTTCTCAGTTTGAAGACTTTTCCCTTTTTTTTATTCCGTAAGTACATGTTCTGTCCTGCAGCTGTATGCATTTTGCCTGAATGTACGCACACTGTACACCATAATGTACAAGACATTTTTTTTTATTGTTCTTATTTGTTTTTTGTTTCACTGCCTGTTTTGGCCAAGACACTCAACAAAATATTTAATTTTAATCTAAATGGGGCTCTAGTGCTGGTTAATAAAAGGTTAAAAAAAAAAAGATGTTGCTTAACCAGGCTGAAGTTTGAGTCTCACCTGACTGCGTGTGACTGCTGCCCTGTAGAGCAGCGCTGCAGGAGTGAGGCGTTGACTTCTGGGTGAACGTGTGATCACTGTCCCCTCCTCCTTCTCTTCCCCATCGTGGGACACACGGGGGTTCCCGTGCGTGGGTGCCCTCCCTGCAGCTGCCCCCCTGCCGCATGGAGAATCAGGGCTGCTGGAGAACGGGATAGAAGCTGCATCTTCGCTGGGCGTGTCACTGCGTGGAGGTGTATCTGCGAGGTCATCAGTCCCTGCACCCACATCCGGCCCTTCCTCTGCACCTTCAGTCCTACTTTCCCCCAACCCGGCTGAGGCGCTCTGACTGCCCGCTCTGTCCAGCCCCGGCCTGAGCTGCCCCTTCCTCCGGCCTTCAGCCTCCAAAGTGGTTGAAATGAGATCCGGGCTCGAGGAGTACATCTTTTTGAGCAACAGGTCGTGCTGCAGGCCTCTGAGAGCTGCACTGGGGTCTAAGTGCTGTTTGCTGCTGGGAACGGAGGTGGTGGCGTTGACCATTGCTAATGAAGAAGAGAGAGTGGCCTTCAGCTGAGCCAAGTCCCCGCTGCTGCCTTTTCCAGCCTTCCTGTAGCGGGGTTTTCCTCTGCGTGACCGGCCAGGGGAGGTAGAGCCTTTGTTAGGAATTGTGACCTGGGTCATGGAAGAGTCCAGTTTGGGGAGGATGACCTCAGACTTTAGTAGGTCTGGCCTGGAATAGACAGTGAAAATATACAACAATACTTTTTAATACTACTTTTTTTTACTACTTTTTACTACTACGTACCTTAATGTAAGCTATACATTCATAAATATATGCATTTAGTAAAATGTGTCATTATAAAGAAGAAACCTTGTAGTTTAAGGCTAGCTTGAATTTAGCTTCACTGTTTCATCAGCTGGAAAGTTGAATTTGGCTAAACTGTTTTTGTGTATTTAAGCTATCTATCAAAACTATATCAAAACTGTTGAAATACCATATTATAAGCTATCAAGCTAAACTTCAGCTAAATTAAAATTCTGTTAAAGTATAAGCTAGCTGACTGAAGACTTCGATAAACTGTTGTAATATTGTATAAATTAGCAAGCTAGTTTAGTGTAAAACTTAACAGAGACAGCAAACAACTCAAAAAGAAGTAAATCCAGCATTTATAGAGACTTAACGATGTGGAGTTTGTGATATTATGTTTGTGTGAGCATTTACAGCAGAACACTGGTGTTAATAGGATGGATCCATAATAAACTACAAGGCTCATATTCATAATAGGAGGAACATGCAACCCAGTTCAGGGATGTATCTTTTATAACTAACACACTTAAAAATAAAACTGGAGGTCCATACTGTATGTCACAGGTACAATTTAGACAATGTGATACTTATACGTATTGATTGATAGTTTTGGTCTTTTCATTGGATTTAAAATAAAATAAAGTATGTTTAACATACTCTTCGGGCTTAAACAATATTGAGCTGTCTCACCTCTTGCTGTGTGAGGGCAGTTTCTGAGGTACGTTGCGTTTCTTCATGAGTTTCTCCATGGAGTTAGTGGAGGCGGACTGTCTGGAGCTGGGGTGCTTGAAGCAGCCCGGGTACTTCTTGTCCAGTGAATGCTCCCTCCTGATGATTAAACACAGAGCCAATACTGGATTAATGGAAGTCAAGGAGTACTCAGCATGGCATAAGAGAGCTCTTTTACACTGCAATGGCCCCGTGTGGCTGGATGTAATGACCATCCACTGCTGATGAGCGGCATTGATGATGAACGTTTCCCCGCTCTTCATTACAAAAGCACTACTTAACCAGTGTTGATGGGTAAAGCTATTAGAACAAAACATTTAAACAACTACAACTCTACTGTAACAGTGTGACAAAAAACAAAAACGTACTAACTGTGCCTTCTTGACAGAACATTGCTGTATCATGTTACTCTGATTGGGCTTTAGAAAGGCCTTTTCACTCCCAGCCCCAATACAATCTGACTGTAGTTTAGCATTTTTAAAAGAATAAATGTTCAGATATGAGAAAAAGACTTTGCATTTTTATTTTGAGTCAATCAAGATCACTTTATAGAGACCGGTTTTGAGATGAAAAGGTATTTTTAGTTCCTCAGCCACATTGAATTTCCTTTGATTGCATGATCAAACAACAAAACAGAGAATATTTCTTTATATGAACAGGGAAAAAAATTGTAAGCGTTCATACTTGAGCAGTTCTTTCTCTTTGTTCTCAAGCTGCAGCATGATGGCGTTGAGCTCCATGTAGAGGTTGTTGGCTCTCTCCAGTTTCCTCTCGTAGTGCTCCCGGATGTCGAGTGCATGTCTGTGTGGAGAAGGAAATTATATTTAAATACAAACACTTAAACTGCTCTACTTCTACTCTAATGAGAATAAAGTGTTTCTGAACTGTAAGCCTATCCTCATCTCTTAGTTAGCCGTGTAGCTATTTTCTAACTCTTCTAACTAAGTGTTTAAAAGGTGTTCATCTCTTTTTTGTGTTTTTTGTGTTCCAGTTTCTTTGCCAACCTTAGTTCTTCTCGGCGTCGTTTGATCAGCTCCTCATCCAGCCTGTGAATACACGTCCCCTCGGACTTGATTTGCTCAAAGTGATGCCTCACCTCATCTCTCCACTCCACCTGAGAAAAATATTTAAAAAAAACATCAGAGCAGGTTCTAATGACTTACTGATTACAGTCTGTAGTAAAATGGGCTCAGATTCTTTTAAATTACAAAATTTCCTGCCATTACTGTGTATGGAGTATGACTGTACTTAATTTGAGGCGTAATATGAAAACAAATCACATTAATAGCTAGAATAAACTTCACTGCACCTTCAGAGTGACTGAGTTTCGGGTGTATCATTGGGACCAAAACCCATTAAGCTGTCAGATGATAACCAATACAAAAGCAGAGAAACTGAACATGAACTGACATGACATGAACACACACAAAAAAGGCAGCGCAAGCATTTTCTTGTACACAGTGGAGCATGACAGCTGTTATCTGATACCCGTCATATCAAAGGACAAAGGAAGTCCAGATTTACGAGAGTGTGCATGCACATACGTGTGCATAGACTGCATGTGTGTGTATTTCAGCCTTCGCATGAGTGATGCTCTTCTTATTAAGCTAATGGACTCTGCGTACTCTCCTACATCTCCCATCCCCTCTTTTCTCCTCTCTCTCTCTCTCTCTCTCTCTTTCTCTGCTCTCTGCGCCCTGCCATTAAAGCAATCAATACACTCCAGCAGCAAATACTTCTTACTAACGTCACAAGAAAAATCCATTATGGGGCAGACAGGGGGAGGAAAGGAGAAAAAGGGAGAAATAAAGGATCAAGGATAAGTGGACAGAGTGAAAGAGGTTTGTATTTTGCATTATAAGAAATAAAGGGAGGAGACAGAGAGGAAGTGAATTTCATGTTAGTGTTTGTGTGCACTTGTGTGTCCTGATTATACATGCTTGAGTTATAAATGGATCTGTGGTTGTGCATGGATGAGTAAACACATCTCTTCCACACAATTATACTTCTTTAAGTCTACCGCCCTTCATCTGTTTGGGTTTGCAGTTATCCGAGACATTTTTCATTTTTCCTTCCCATCCCCCCACATTGTCACAGGCAGACACACACACCATCCTCCTCCTCTTTTCTCCTTCTTCTCCTCCTCCATCACACTGACCTTCTCAATTAGGCTGTGATATGATGGAGGTTGCAAAAAAGGCCCTCACATGTGTGACAGGGAACAAAGACCGAGGAAGCAAAAGTAATACGTTGTGATTGAAAGCACAGGTATTATTAGTGGGCCCCGGAGAGGCCAGGGGCCCCAGTGCAGCTGCACTGCCAGTAATATCTGCAGCAGACTGGAAACCAATGGTGGTGGTCTGACAGAAAATGTCTGCTGTTAACAGAAGATAATTGAAGACGCACACAGAGCTCTTGTGCGCCTGATGCCTGTTGATGTGTTTATTAGTTGAGAAGTTGTAGCTTCATTTTTTTCCTACCATTCATCAAACAGTGAGTGAACAGCAATGTCAACTGTTTTTCTGTCCACCTTCTCTTCGGTCTAAACAAGCTTTGAGAAGCAACATATAATGAGAAAAATGTTAATCTGAATTAAAGAGATGCCCTCATGGTTTAATGGATAGTTCAAGTCAAACTTTAAACAACAAAGATATCTCATTAAGTTTTGGCAAACATGTACATTATAACTATTTCACTGCCATTGTATGCTGACAAACATTGTGGTTAAAATAACACAACTCTGACATGATTAAATGAAACTAAAAAGGCAAGTAGTCACTGTAGTTTTTTTTATCCTCTTGATCTCTCTAACTCAGTCTAAAAAATGAGCTTAAAAAACTCTTATCTAATTGAACCCATCCTGTACATGTCAATGAGCTGTTGTGTTTGTGCTGTGGACAGAGATAAATGCAGCTTACCTGAGACTGGAAGTATGTTTCTTGTGGCGTGCACAGGATGTCTGCTGAGGCGATGTCCAGGTGCAGGAGAATCTGTCGGAAGGAAGGCCTGTTTCTTGGCTTGCAGTTCCTGTGAACAAATTAAACCAATTTTTTATCAGTCATGAAGAAACACGGACCTGAGCGACCTTTCCTCTCATATAATCCTTCTCTTGTCCTTCTCTGGACAACTTTTCCCTCTCTCAGCTTAATTAAAGCTTTCAACTTCATTACATTCTCTTTGTGCTGATGCGTCAACTTTCTTTTTTCCGTATCCCAACTCAACCCTCTCTGCCGCCCCCCCCCTCCCGCCTGCTCACCAGCATTGCCTGAGAAGCAGTTTGAAGCTGTCTGGACAGCTGTCAGGTACAGGCAGCTGCAGACTGTTGTTGCCCACTCCCCAGATGATAGCCGAGGAGTCCACATCCTTATAGGGCACCTCTCCTGTCAGCATCTCCCACAGGACGACACCGAACGACCTGCGGAAGAGATTTAGCATCCTTACTATTCTGACAGAGGAATGAAGATGTAACATGACAGTATAAGAGGAAACATGACTAAAATATCACATTTTTGACTGTGCAGAAATGATTCTTTATATTTAGATTACCACTGTTTTCTAAGAACTGTAAAAAGCCTTTGATGCTTATACCTTACATGCAGCTGAAGTTTTATCAAGACTTAATATGTTACATAAATTGGGAACATGTGACTCTGATTTGATTCGTCATGTCTCTACAGCTCTCTGTTTCATTGATGACTTTCATCTCTTCCTGTGTTTGTTTGGGGTTCAACAGTGATGGCCCCAAGGGGAAGGTAACTAAGGAAAGTCTGTTGATGGTGACTCCTGTGTTGCCATGGGGACCAAGAACCGTAACCAAGGTACCAATAGCATCCATGCAGGGTCACGTGGGGGAAGAGGGATGTTGTGTTTTGATGAGTATTTTTAGATTCCTTCCATGTCCTTGTTTATGATTCATGATATTAACGCACAAGCAGAGAAGACTGTGATGGTATGAATCAAATATACGCTTTGAATACCATGATGGATAACAGCAATGCGACTTGAATATTTTAATATACTGTAGTTAGTAAGTTCAGAAATGTAAAGAACGATTCATGTGTCATTCCTGTGTGACTAACTGCAGTTCAACTTCAAGTATTTTCCAAAGGAACTGGACTGGTTGACGTTTCACGTTTCAAGATTGGAGGTGAAACGTCTTCAAGATTTTCAACCAGTCCAGTTACTTTGGATCAAGCTTCAAATTTACCATGACCTGGATGACTAAAAACCCACACAGACAACTTCAAGTATTATCATTTTCATCCTAGGACAGAAAAATGTGTTTATGTTCGTTGTGACATAATTTGAGATTGATCATTTTTTCCACAGAACTGGAGGCTGTATAACCAAATAAAGCCACTTCTTGCTCTGCTACATTATGATATGAAATGTAATAATAGCATTCATGTGTTGTTATGTTGTTGTGCACCTTTTGATTTAGATATCGATATGTATGTTTTTAATTCTAATTCTGCGTTAAGGATTACGCTCATAGCCTTTCATTTTTTTTTGGTCTAGTAATTGAAGGTATCGTTTCTTTTGTCTCCTTTTTTTCTTGTATAAAAATATAATATAATAAATAAACTGAATATATATTGTTGAATTGTATTTAATTCTGTTAAAGTTAAGTTCTACCCCTTCACTTTTAGTATTAATCCTTGTATACAAGATAATACTTGACAACAGCTTCTCCTCCTCTGAGTCACTCTCTGTTGTGTGGACTAGTACAGCATTTACATAAGTTTAAAGAAAACTCTGAAGTATACAGCCATGTTTTTTTTTTCCTTTTCTTCCTGCATCAAAAGCTTTTTAATCCTGTTTTCACTTCTCTGCTAATGCACTGCTGGCTCTGGGCCAAACCCTCTGCAGGCTTTGGAAGGTTATTCCAGCCTCTCCTGAGCACTGCAGCATCTGGCAAATCAATTATTAAATTAGCCTGCGTTCCTTTCAGGACGGAGAGGAAGAGTGATGGAGGGATGCAGGGAGGGAGAGACAGGAGGAGGATGTATTGAGGAGGGGGAGGTCGGGGCTTAACACAGGGCAACCCATCAGATATGGCAGAGGCCCTATAGAGTTTCATGTAATGAGATATTGGACATATTACTGAATAGATTTTCTGGAAATAAGATCCTGAGCTCCATACTGTAGTAGACTGTAACTAATGAGATGTTATGACGGATAAGACAGACCATAATAATAACTGTAGTGGTCTCACAGAGCAGAGTGGACAGTACAAAGGGGTTAGAACACCTACCATATATCCACCTTCTCTGAGACAGGTTCGTTGCGTATCACCTCAGGAGCCATCCAGGCCACCGTACCGGCAAAGGACATTTTTGTGCTCTTGTCACTGAGCTCTTTGGACGTGCCGAAATCAGAAATCTTCACTGAGTCGTCATACGTGATTAGCATGCTGAAATGAAAAATTGAACACAAGGTTTAGCAATATGTCTTGTAACAAATGGATCAGTAGTGTGCAGTATATTTCAGAGTTGACATTTGAACCTTAATTAAAGCATCTACATATCGGCCAATTCATTATATCTATGTAACGCTAGGGTTCCCAATCTTTGGGTGGGGATTATGGAAATGATTAAATGAATAATAAGAAAGAACAAATATGCATCTGCTACACAAAATGATGTTGTTTTTTTATGGACTCCATGTCTTAAATTGGATAATTTGATCACTTTTTGGTGGCATAAGTGCCCAAATTAATGGATGGACAAAAGATTCAATCTATAAAGTGGGGTTGGGAACATAAATGGTCAGACATTGTAGTTCTCAACATCATAACATCTGAGGTTTCATACCTGACAGATGAAGAAGGAAGAGCACAATAAGGCCCGTTATTTCTAAACTTGAGACTTCTCACGGCTTAAAATTTAAATCTCCTGCAAAATGTTGACGCTATTGACTTTGACGAGACAAATGGTATATGTTTTTGAACTACACCAAGCAGCTTCATTAGCTATTAAGCAACCTGTTTGCGTGAACATCATGATTTCCACTTGAATGACACAGCTGTATATAAAACTCACTTTGGTGACTTGAGGTCTCTGTGGATGATCTTGTGGAGGTGAAGGTAGTTCATCCCCCCTGCGATGCCCATGGCCCAGTCCATGAGCAGGGACGGGTGGATCTTCCTGCCCGCTCTCAGCACCTCATACAGCTGACCCTGAGCACAGTACTCCATGAGGATGCAGTAACATGGAGCCTGGGTGCAAATACCCCTGAGAGTGTACAGAAGTAATCACAGTATGTAATGAATAGACAGTGTCACATATACATCTTTGGGTATATAATTCACTTCATAATATATAAAGACATTAGATAAAAAAAAGCTCTTTTTTACTGTAAAACATAAAATCATTAAAAGATCATTTCCACTAACTTGAAGGTGATGATGTTTGGGTGTTTGAGCTTGCGCAGGTGTTTGATATCCGTCTCTTTGATGTTTCGTACTTTCTTTACGGCCACTTCCTGTCCGTGCAGTTTGCCCAGAAAGACGGCACCCTGAGCTCCACTACCCACCCACTGAAGGTCAGATATCTCCTCAAAGGGGACCTCCCACGCCTCTGAGATTGGGAAAAGAGAAAGGGGGGAAGTAGATAGGTATTTTAATAAATACAATTACCTCAGCTGCAAACTCATATTTTTAGCTCGATATGTTAACTAAACACCAGACCATGTTTAAGAACATAATAACAATAATAACATATATTCTTTATGTTGTTAATATCATAGCATATAATTTATCTCAGTAAACTTACACTATTTATTGTTATGGTTAGTTTTGCTATATCCTTGCCTAGTAACTTTATGGAGTATGTAGTGGACTTTTACACCACTCTTTTTATACTTCAAAGGAATACATTATTTTGAAAAATTCATTTTCTGCTTTTTTTTTTTAGTAGAGTTTGAGATAAAAAGATTGATAACACTCGTGTGTCAATTTACTATTAAGCTATAGCTAGCATCTTGTTAGCCTAACTCGGCATGAAGACTGGAAACAGAGGGAAACAGAATATTTGCCATAAAGACATGAAAGTGATATAAACCTTTTCATATATCTCCCAAAATGAAATTGACTGAAGATTTGTCCTAAAATTAAAGACTGAAATTAAATTCATGGTTAAATCTGGATGTGAAACTTAAGTTAGAGGCAGCTCCACAGCAGCAGGCTTAGCTTTTTGGCAAAAGTTAGCTATACCCTGGGTCTAACAGTCATCACAGAGTCCAGGTTGATATCTTGTTCTGTAGTTGAACCTCACCTTAACCTAAGACTCAGGCTATGCAGGCAGACAGACAGGGAGCTCTAATCTCCAGTGAGTAATTCTCCCTCAGCCTCCTAAATCCTGCTTAGTGCCATTGTGGGGCTGATGCGAAACAGGGGTCCAACGCTCAGGAGAGGGCTGGAAGAGGGAAGGGATTTGGGAGCCTAATGTGAATGTACGCTGAATAGGGAGGTGGAGGGCTACTAGTGACGTTAGTTGTGGTTGAAGCTGTGTGTAAAGAGAAACAAAAAGGAAGGGGGATTCCCAGTGGGTCAGCAGGGGTCCATGTGGCCAAAGACAGACTATTAATACAGAGAAAATGTACAGCCTGCTCTGCTGCTGTTCCTCACCCGAGAATGGCAGATTTAGACCCATTTATCATATTAATAAGGGATGAAATGAAATATTTATGTTCTCCAATAACAGATTGAAGACCCAATCTCTAATGAGCCCCTTAAATGTCCCCCAGTACGGACATAAGGACACATCTTACACACGAGAATAATGCCAGGTCTGCTTTGTTTGATCTTGTAAAATAAAATGAAGAAATTGAGAGCATCGCCAGGCCCCCCGCTGTCCTTGAAAATCAATACAGGATTGACATTTTTTCTTGCTTTCTTTTGTGCTGCATTGTGCCTTCAAATCAAAGCTTAAGAATAGAACATTTTGATATGGCAGACAGCTTTTCAGTGGCAATACCCCTATTTATTTCACTTTTATAATATCTGTTTTGCTCTTGTCATGCTGCACAGAGGAGGATAGCAGCAAGGTGCAGATGGATGGGAGTGATAAGGGCACCGGATGAAAAGGAAAGGAAAGGAGACAATGAGAGATGGAAAGAAGGAGGAGGAGGAGGGGAGCGGAGAGAGGAGATGTGGAAGTCAAATTGGTGATAAAAAATCAGAAGGCTATAAAGACAAGAGACGTATAAATCTGTCACCTTCAAGTTTGAGTTATGGTACGGTATTTATTTTATCCAGTTTATTTTTGGCATCTTATCTGACTTTATATGTTTTTTTTGTCAGAGCAAAAAGATATTAACTGCTCCTATTTGTTGGTGTGTTTATGTGTGCATCCTAGTACACATACGTGTGTGTGTGTGCGTGTGTCAGGTTTGCGTTAATAGAGATGAGAGGAGCAGGGTCAGAGCGTGGCCATACATAATTCATGAGGCAGATTTGGCAGAGGAGTCCCAGGGGAGATCTGCGCTATTGTAGTGGCTGCAGACATAAACAACACAGCGTCACAGGGAGCTAGTTTCATTTCAGTAGGTGGGAGTGGGAGGAAGGTGGGGGAGAAAAAAAAATCAGGGTACAATAAGCCCCTAACAGCTTTGATAGAGTCTCTCTATGGCTGCAGCTCCTTCACGTCAAGGGAAGTGTTTGTTTACAAGATGGCCTTTGTGGGAGTCACTCTTTACAAGCCGTTTAATATAATTAAACTGGGTAATATAATACAATTCATTATTTTTTAATCTTAAACCATTCACACTGTCCTCTTATCCCTTAGATTCTTCGTTCATTGTTGTACCCCATAGTCTACAGATTTAAATTCCTGTCTTTAATACTCTATCTTGGCCCATTCTTGCTTCACTTTTTCATTTGGATTTATCTACTTTTATTAATTTCTAAGGAAACTAAGGTACACACTCAAACACATGCTCACACATACACACACTAGTCTCAAATTCACTGTAATCATGTTTTGTTTGTTTGTTTGTTTGCTGGCTATTAGTCCGATGATTTATGTACTAATAATGTGTTCTTTGTCTGTTATTTATTCACATCTGACATGTTTCAGTTATTTTTAAATGTTGCTCGTGATTAAGTATAGTATGCCATCAGTTTTTTTCCCCCTTGCTATCTGCTCACTGTATGTTTCTACATCTGTCCCATTTTATGGACTCATTTCCTTCATTAAGTTTATCAAAAAAATCCTGACTAAGATCAAATGGAAGCGAAATGGTTCCTGTTATAGGAAAACTAAAAGAAAACATTCATTGTGATGAGAGTTTTTTTTGCCTTTAAGTTGAGATGTATTTGACTAATACACTTACCATCCAGGTTGTGCTTGTGCTCTGTGGAGTAAGCTTTCCCAATCATAGTCCAGACAGGCCGCAGACACCCAAACAGCCCTTCCAGAAACCCTCCTCCCCCTCCTGACTGGCACTGTAACCTGGCGTCATCCGCATGGCTCCGTACTACACTGCCGTCCACATCCTGTCCCTGTCCCTCCGTCATCCCAGGACTCCCATCATGCTCATGAAGCTTCAGTACGCTGTTGGCAAAGTGCTCCTGTTGTTCCTCGCCTGGCGTCTGGTTGTGTCCGGGAGTCTGACCCTCTCCTCCACCTCCTCCTCCTCCACCCCCAGACTCGACAGCCCCTCCAGTGTCTATAGATAGGACATTGCGAAGAACGCACTGGGTCGGGGTCAAGTCCATTTCAGGGGTGCAGGGTGTCACGGCATCGAGGGCGCGGAAGGATGGGGGATCAGAGAGAGGTGAGTTGAAGCCGGAAAGAGACGGAGAGGGGGCACGAGGTTCGTGAATCAGCGCCATGGGGGCTTGTGGGCATCAGCGGAATGAGAGAACTGGGAGTCTTGATGGAGAAAGATAAACAGAAACGAGGAGGAAACTATTATAAATCAAATCAAGCACTCAATCAAATCATTCTTATTTATAAAGCAACAAATCACAACAAATGGTATCCCTTGAAAATGTACATGGAGCAGGTCTTGGCGATACTTGTAATAATATTTTTACAGCTATTTGAATCCATTTTAGAAAAATCACTTGGCAACAGATGCAAGCAGATCCAAAAAAGCTCAACCAGAACCAGACTCATAGACAGCAATCTGCCGCAGCAATAAAGGTAAAGTCTTTCTCTTACATTTAAAAAGCCAAAAAATGCTAGTTTGGCTCAATATGGGCTTTGCAGGAGAGTATCACTTTGTGAAGATGATTCTTTAGGCCTCCTTTAGGTTGAAGTTTTGGCTGAACTGAGCTATAATAAAAAGGCAGAGGAACATGCATCAATCGACGACTAACAAATCGAGGTAGGCAACAAGGTCCTCGAGGTGTGATCAATAAATACACTTTCATGCTCCTCGCTATGCTCCTCTGGATACAATCCAATTTTTGTTGTCTAGTGTCAATTAAAATGAGCTTTGTAGCTTTCAATAAAAATGTACATGAAGGACTGGGTATGGGGTGTGTTGTAAAGGACACATTTCTAGGAGTCAATTAAAACATCATCAGCATAGAAGCGAAAAAAATCACTTGCACGTTTCAAACAACTCTGAAATAAAAATGTACTGCTTTCTGGTTATTTTTGTCAAATGAAATACAGATAAAGATATGAGTAAAGTGTTTTTAACCGTACATGTGGCTAGTGATCAGGATGAGTCATCGGTTATGATCACTGAAGATATCAAATCAATACTACAAAGTGAAACACGAGACAGGATGTGTGGATGAAGGATAACAGGGTAGCCTGTGTGTACCATAAATTATTGAAAGCCTCAGATAGGCACTAGCTTTGATAAAGAGAGCAAACCCCCTAGCTTTGATAAAGAGAGCAAACCCCCTTTCCTGTTTAAACTTGACAACCATGTGTAGGTGCCGCAGCATCTTAATGATGAGGAAAACCAATGTTGTGTAGGGAGAATGGTGCCACAGCTGGTTATTTACATCCTCCACTAGAAGCATCACTGGTATGTTAAAATGGCTGAGATCAGATGATCGAGAGAAATCTGCAAGGCCTCTTCAAAGCTTGTCATTTCTCCAAGGACGCCAGCATACATGCTCGGCTGAGAGTGAAAATGCATTATCTCTTGTCAGAGCCTTTTCAAGTGATCCACTCTCCCTTAGCTTTCTCTGACAGAAACAAGTAATGGGCTTTACCTGCTGTGCAAAATGATGATACAACTCAAAACCCTGACCAGTACTAAGATGTTCTCTTGTATGGCATCTGAGACAAAACAAACACGTTTTCTTTCCTGGTGTTCATTTAGTCATTGTGCGTGGCAATTTAGGTGTCTTACATTTAATTGAAGGTCATTTAAAAAAAAAAAAAAAAAACATAAATACATGTACTTATTGAGATTATTATAATGATACTGTGCCAATTACTCTCACTTTCATAAATATGCATGCATCTGGTATGATCAGCTGACTGCATCTTGATACCACTACCTGGAGCAGTATAGCCTAAACATCAAGCCTGTAATTCATAACATGGGAAGAGGAAAATCACATGGATGCTCCGCAACAAGACAAACACAGCTGGAGGATTCATTAACCAAACCCACCCCCTTGTAAGGCTCAAAGTGTGGAAAAAAAACATTCTCATTATAATTTTCAGCGCAGAGAGAAAACTAACCACTGAGACACATCTGGTGTCTGAAACCTGGAATAATCACAAATCATTCACATCCCACTGCCTCCTGTCTGTTAATAGCCCTGCACTGGCTCTTATTTCTGGGTATCAGCTGCGGAAGAAGCAGCAGCATGAGCAGGAGGAGGCTACGGTCTGATGCAGGCCGGTGCATTGTGGATGTGTCGGAGGGTTTCATGTGCGCATCATCGCTTCTCCTCGCACCTCCTGCGGTTAAGATGCACCTTGAAGCATCACTGACACACAAGTCACAGCTAGGCTATACTCTTGAAATCTACAGTCCAATAACCAATACGTTCAAGGGGGTTAGATTAGCTGCCATTTCTCGCTGCTGATGACGCTAAAACGGTGCCAATATAAAAAATAAATCCTACCTTAGTGCTGACAGCTGACCTCCATCGTTCGTGACTGCAAAATCGTATTCCACGGTGTATTTCTAGGAAGATTTAAATTCTAATGAGCGTAACCTTAAAACTGTCCTTGTCTGCGTTTTAACGTGAAATCAGCATCCACGCTCTTTCCTCGTCGTTCTTCTCTCTGCATCCAGTGAGCTTCCTCCACCCTGAAGATCTGCGTCTCTCCACCTGCGCGCAGCAAACACGGACACAGCTCGGTTCGCTTGTTTTCCTACACCTCCTCCACCTTCTTTACCACTCTCCTCTTGAGGATGCGATGTGCGCACACTCAGGAATCCATATACAGGCTATCTCACCTATAGTAAACACGACTGGAGAGTGAGAGAGAGAGAGAGAGAGAGAGAGAGAGAGAGAGAGTGTGGGAGGGATGGAGGATGGGGAGGGTGGGGGCAGTGTTGTGGTCCTCCTATCAGAGCAGAAATGCGCCGTGACGAGCTCAGCCCGGTGAGACACGGGACAACAACCGCAGGTAAACGGGCTTCTGTGAGCGTGAGGCTACTCTCGAGAAGGGGAGGGGGGGAGGTTGGGTCGACCGGTCGGCCTGTGAGGTGATCAAAATGATGTCATTCCAAAAGCATGCAGCATTTGAGTGGACAGCACCGTGTTAATACTTTCAAACCCTGTTAATGCCCTCTGTGTCGAGTGTAATTGGTGCATAATCTGTGAGCACGGTCTGCCACAGAGGGGACACGAAGGAAGGGCGTTTTTTCTGTTTTATAATCGTCTCCAATCTCTGCTGACCCATTTCTCTCCGAGAGGACGAGTGGGACAGCTCAGGACCTAAATGGGACTTTCCCCAGGCGTGATTTCTCTCCCTTGGTGACTTCAATTAACCTGAATGAAATAAAATATCACTCTAATATGAAAAGCTTTCAACACAATCTTATTTTATGTGTAAAAATCATAACGAAAGCAATGCCCCCCCAGATCATTTATATTCAGAAAATGTATACTATTGAGTCGAGTATAAAAAATCATGCAAATTGGTCTTACAAGACACCATAAAGACAAACATTCAGAATGGTGCATTTTCAAGCAATACAAGTGGCTTTCCCATGTCATTACCAGTAGGCCTACCTTATAGCTTCTGATAAAATGGCCCAGAACTACTACCACTGTTTTTGTTTCAGAGCTTCAAAAGAACAGCTAACAAGGTGCCTAATGCCAGTTTTAGATAACTAGTCTGCAAAGAATTTTCCCATGAAAAATCTACATTTAATGGTCATCTTTTGAATTCAAGTTTACAAAGGTTAAAACTCAAAATAAAGAAGTTTCATGTAAAAAAACAAACAAACAAAGAAACTAACAAGGGTTTTTTACAAACAAGAAAGGCCGACAGTATCTGCTGCTTCTGTTTATATCCACTACGCTGCTTGTTTCTAGTCACCCAGGATTCCACAGTAGCCAGGTCATAGACAATGAAAGCAATCAAGAAATCCATACAGGGTTACTAATATAGTTAATATAGACAATGTCTATCAGCTAATACTCATCAGATCGGTAAAAAGAACAACATATTCCAAGGCTACACAGCCTGATTCAGACATTTACAAGCTTACCAAGCACAATCAGGTTCTTACAAATGTATATCCTCAATAAAATGCAAAACATCACATACATTTTTTTTTCATAATAGCAAGGTTTGAACAATGTATCGAACATAAAATAAGTTAAATCATCCTATAGCATAGCATTACAAAATAAATTGTGACTTACTTCTTCCAAATTGTACATCTGAAAGATTAATGCCAAGGAAAACCTGCTTGATTAATGGATGTATGTCAGTGCAACTCTGCAGGCCAACCAACAAGAGTCAAACTATTTATATTTTTGAAGACGTGTGTTTGTGTAACAGCTGGGACTCCCATGTCTGAGCTGCATATTTACTGACAGTCTCACTGCTTGTAGCTATGTGACCCTTTTTGAGAGCTAAATCCAAATCCAGCACTTATCTCCCAGATTAAGCTCGTGTTGGGTTTAAACCCCAACGATGACCTCATCGTGCTGTTTGCAGACAGCGGGGAAACCCCAACTAATGCTCAAAATCCTGAACACTAACTATGAACTCAAAGCATCCTTTTCTTCTTATCCTTGAAGGGCTTTATTAAAAAGTATGAAAAATTGACAGTGTTTTTGCCCAGGTGTGTTAGCTCCAGTGAAATAACAGCAAATACGGATGGTTTCTGTTTTCATTTATTTATCTTGTGAGTCATTGCCTGCCTTCTGCTGCTTCCACATGAAGGCTGTCCTAATGAAAAGAGTATTTTCAGAATCAGAATCAGTATCAGAATCGGGTTTCATTGCCAAATACATTTACACATACAAGGAATTTGACTTGGTGTATTGGCGCTAAACAATTAACAAGGAAGATCGCAGAACTAGCAACAACTTAAATAATACAGTATAGGAATCTATTACAATATAGATAATAGAATTTAAAAATGTAAATTATGAAATATAAAAAATAAAAAACACAAAATGTACAAAAGGTGCAATGTAGGAGCTGTGTGGTGGACTATGAGTGAAAAAAAATCTTACAGTGTATGTAACCTACTCACAGAGTGCATGTAAAGAAAATACATTTAATGTCCAGTGGGCGTTAATATAACGCATAAAGAACAGTTTCATCATTCGCATTACTTTCCTTTCTGTCTATGGTAGAGTTATGAGAAGCATTGTAAAAAGCAGAATTTTGTAAGTTATTCCCTTTCCGCCTACCTGAAAGAAAATAGAGAGCAACAAAAGCAAGTAATTAAATGTTTAACTAATTTTCAGCGGCTTACTCTAACAATGTAACAGTGGGACGCCATTAGAGTCACTGCATTTATGAAAATGATTTCTTTTTGTCAACAACTGACTTAATGATTTTGTTTCAATTTTACAATTTAATGGACCATTATCTTGGCGCTCTTTAATAAATATTCAAGGAGCTCTAGCCAAAAATTGGATTATGAATGTTTAATGCTGGTTTTAATATCACATGAAATAGAGACAGTGTGCAGAAATCAGCAGCTTTAATCATTCTTGCTGTTTTATGCCATCCACATCTATGAGTCCCTTCCCTACACTGACTTGAGGCAGTCCAAATGGAGCTGAGCTTCGTCTGTTCTATTTCAAACTTTGTTCATGATTTATTTATTGGTGCTTGTAGATGGAGGAAGGCTCATCGTCAGGGATGTTCAGTCCTCTGAGGGTCCATGCTGCTGCCTCTTGATGTCCAAAAACACAGCTTCTGCATCTGTTGTGGTTACTCCAGCAGAAGGAACGCCGCTGGGTATCACTCTTTAACAGTTAAAAAACTTCAACTATAAAGCAACTGTCTTCTAAGAATATGTTTATTAGAAATTACAGTAATTTAGAAAGACTGAACTGGATGACTTTGGATTCAACATGGTAACATGCATTTAACATTTAAAAAAAAGAGAGATGGAACTAAGATTTATTATCACTGATTCATCTGCTTATTTCTTTCAATTAATAAAAGAAATGGGAGTTAATCTTTTAGACTAAAAAAACAAAGAAAAGGTAATACAATCTCATTACAATGTCCAAGAGCCCAAAGTGACCTTTTCAAATTCCTCTGTTCAAACCACAATCCAAAACCCAGAGGCTCTTACTTTTTACACTGAAAAGTAATGGAAACGATAACTGGTAATTAATTATCCAAATAACTGCTGATAAGTTAGACTTTTGAGTGATACATTATTTGTTGCGTCTCTAAGGGACTCCTTTAAATTCGAGTTGATAACATTAGTGGTATTAGCCTCCATCACAGCTCTAAATGCAGCAACAGGTACCTGCAAGTTAAACTTAGTTAGCTAGTCAAGGCACTGAATACCATAACAATTTGGCCCTAAAAAAACATCACTGGATTAAAGAGACTTGCTAGCAGGGAGTGAAATGTTAGAGCTAGAAAAATGGCTGTAATCAGGGTTTTCCGGCCATATTATGTGTCATGTTTACTTGTATGCAAGGGTACTTGTTATGGGTTGGTGGCTGATGTAAAATGCTGCATTGTTTGGCATTATGCCTCATAATCTGTAGGAGGGAATTAACAGAATCCTGTGCAAGATGTCGAGAGGAATGCAGTGTGTGTGTGCATGTGTGTATACATGCATGCTGTATGAGTGTACGGCACGTTGTGAAAGGCGCAGTGCCAAGTGGACACAGATTGTCCGGTTTAGGGGGAAGGGGGTAGAGTAGAGGTGTGTGTTTGTGTGTATGTGTGTGTTGGTATAGGGAATGAGGGGGAGGGTAGCTTCTGGCTTTTTGGAGAGTCTATTTATGGATCCTCGTCAAGAGCCCTTATGTTAGTCATTGTCACTTTCACTTGCACATTGCTGAATAGACGGCCAATCATCAAATCCACTCAACTCTCTTCCTAAAGGGAACATGCACAAAAGAAGCAAATATAATTGGCTCTCTGCTTCAACATTATATTGACTGCAGACCAACAGCAAAACATTTGAGGCATCATTTTAGATTATGCAAGAAGATGGGTAATCAGTGAATTTCTTTTTGTCTGCGGTTCGATGGAGAAAACCCTGTACCCCGTCTGTTTTGGGAAGCTGACATTCAAAATCAATCAAGCTGCCACTCCTTTGCATTTGATCTACATTGTCCACTGATGGGATTCATTAAAATTGGCGCCTACCATTATTGGAGGAAGCGTAAGAGGGTTGAAGGGTAGAGGATTCTCCATTTCAGCAAGATGATCTCACCTCCTGTCTTCAGCTCAGGAAGAAGACTTTTCATTCATAAATTTATCAATTCACACACACGTACATATAACCACACACTCACACTGCCAACATAACACCCCCCCCCCCCCCGGATGCCTAGAAGACAGTTGGGCCAATGAGGCAATATTCAAGTGAGATCACTACCCAACACTAGGTTTCCTCTTTCCGCTTTTATAAATGCTTGATGCACATTATCACTCAACCTTCCTGAATAACAGCACCATAAACTCAGGAGTATAAAGATGACATCATGTTAGAAAAGTGTCCAAATACTTTTTGGATTAAACAAAAACAAATTGATGTACAATTCATCAACAAACAAGTCATTTGCTTGGCACTTGGAGGCCATGTAAACAAGTTGCTAACAAAACACTGTCATGGAGTTTAAAATTGACTGCCATTATAAACATTCATTTCTTTAAAGCAGTAATCTGGCCAAATGAGAAATCAGAATCAGAATCTTGGAATGCATTGGATAACATCCGCCATGGAGTGATGGGGAATATTGGAGACTCCAGCAGTTAGTTATAAAGAACTTCCAGCCAAGACTTTGTTTTTAGAGCGTTGAA